AGACTTCTGTTTTAAGAATTAATTCCTAGACAACAAACAGATATGTAAATGTTCAAACTGTAGATCACGACCACTTTTCTTCCCCTCACACTCTCGTACTAGCCAAGCAGTGGCGCTAGAATCAGGCAAAATAAAATGCACGTTCGCAACAACAAAAAATGCTGCAAAGCCTGTGACTTTCAATCTCGTGGTTGGAAAAATAAAATAACATGTGTTCAAATACAGGCTTCCAAAACTCGTCTGCAGTATCCCAACCTACTATCGCTACAGTCTAATCCTGTAGACCCTTATTTTTACTTTAATTGGGACTTTTAAAATTACGTTAAAATAAAGCGACACTCACACATTCACTAATATTGCTGAAAAAATAACGCGGAAAGCGTGTCCATAAACTCACTTTGAAGTGACTTTATCATTATGCCAACACTGCAAGGAATTATTAGCAGAACAGCAATAACAAAGGATCTTCCAAAGGAATCAGGGACCACGAAAAAAAAATTCAGAGAAGAGAGAATAAACAGATTAAGGTTGCTTAATGGATTAGTAATTACAAGTCTCATGTTAACAAATAACCCCAGAAAGGAACCGGGTAAAATGAATAGAGATATAAAAATAAAATTAACAGTTAAGAAAAAGAAATATGGTTATCAATATCTAGATTCATAGCAGCATTTCAGTAGAGAAAAGATTAAAATAGGAGGAAATACTTAAAGGCATAATGGGGAAATTTTCTGTAGATTTATAACTAAAATGATAACCTCAAATCAGATTTTCAAATAACAACACCACAATGAGAGGAATGGAGAAAATAATAATTTCTTTCAATTTGAAAAAGTGTAAATTTGTATTTTGTATTAGGGTTACAAAACTATCAACAAAATTGACAAAAATATAGAAAAATATTTTGTAAAAGTTGACAGAAGTGTCATCAGAATTAGAGATATATAAGCATACCTCATGTGGCTATTAGTAAATAAAACAATTTTTTTTCTAATTTTTATTAATATGTATTTCCAGAACATAATGCTTTTATATTCGTTGTAGGGACTTGGTACAAGATCATAACATATCTCAGCTCTTTTTTTTTTCCACATTCCCTTCATGACCTTCTATTGTACCAGCATCACATTCATTTATTATCTTAGAAAGTTCACTATACATACAGATTAACAACTAGACTAGAAGGCTAAAAAATATATAAACCACACAGGACAATGGTATTGAATCGAGATACATATTTAGATTTATTGTCCCATACTGGATTACAATCATTTTTTGCTTTTATCTTTTTTATTTTGCCACTTATCTATATATTTTTTCATATAAAAGAAACCATGCAATATTTGAGTTGTTTGTCTGATATACTCCACTTAACATTATGGTCTCAAGATGCATCCATTTTCCCACCAATGACTCAAGTCAGCAGAGTACTACTCCATTGTGTATAAATACAATGTTTTATTTCTCGGTTCTTCTGTTGATAGGCTGTTTCCAAGATTTAACTATTATGAATGGTGCCACTATAAACATAGGTGTGCATACAGCACTATGGTAAGATGTGTTTAAATCTTTTGGAAAGATACTTAGAAGAAAAAAGAATCTGAGTCAGATGGAATCTCTAAGTCTTGGGGAATCTCCATAATGATTTCCAAAGTGATTGTATCAGTTTATTCTCCCATCGACAATGGATTTCTCCCCAAGTGTTGCCAGCATTTATTACTGCTTGACTTAGTGATGATAGCTATTTGTTGTGGAGTGAGATAAAATCTTGGTGCAGTTTTAATTTGCATTTTCTAATGGCTAGCACTATTGAACACTTTTTCATATATTTATCAGCCATTTGTATGTCTTCATCTGAGAAGTGTCTACTCATTTCAGGTGCTCATGTTTTAGATGGGTCTTTAAATCTAGGGAGTCTAAATTTGGAGTTCATTATATTTGAGATGTTAGTCCTATGTCTGGGGATTAGCTGGCAAATTTTTTTCCTATTACATAGGTTGTTTCTTCTCTTTGTTGGTACTTTCCTTTTCTGTGATGAAGCTTTCTAGTTTAACACAGTGCCACAATATTATTTCTTGTGCAACCAGGGTTTTGTTCATAGCCTTTGCCTACACCTGTATCTTCAAGAGTTTTACCTATTTTTGTCTTCCAGAAGATTACTTCTGATCCAATTTTGGACTTTTAATCCACTTTAATTTGTTTAGCGCATAGTGAACAACGTGGGTCTAAGTTCAACATTACCATGTGGATAGTCCATTTTTCCAGCACTATCGGTTTAAGAAGCTATCTTTCCTCCAACAAAGAGATTTGGTCCCTTTGTCAAAAACAGTGTAACTGAGCGTGAACTGAAGTTTGTGTATCTTCTATTCTGGTCCATGGATTCACAAGTCTGTTTTTTGTTTGTTTGATTGTTTGTTTTGCCAATACCAAGGTGCTTTTATCACTGTAGCTTTGTATGAAAATTTGATGCCCCCTGCCTTGTCCTTTTTGCTTGGAATTGCTTTTGCTGTGTTGTACCATCATTATCATATGATATAGAAGCCAATTTCTTCTTTAATTTCATCTGTGACCCACTGTTAATCAATAGGGTGTTATTTAATTTCCATACATTTGCATAATATCTATAGTATCTTTTGCCATTGATTTCTGGTGTATTGTACTATGATCCAATAAGATGCATGGGATAATTTGGATTCTTTTGCATTTATTTAAGCATGCTCCATGGGTTAGGATGTGGTCTATTTTGGAGAAAGTCCTACATGCTGCTGAGAAGAATGTGGATTCTGTTGATGTTGGATATCTCTGTAGATATCTATTAAGTCCACTGGTTCAAAGGTTTGAAACTCCTGTGATGTTCCTTTGGGTTACTGAGCCCCCATTACTTTGTATTGGTGTTTAACTGATTTTTCTTGTCCACCAGCGTTTGCTTGATGAAGTTGGGTGTGCCAACATTTGGTGTATACGAGTTTATAATTGTTAAATCTTCCTGGTGAATCTTCCCTTAACCAATATATAGTGACCTTCTTTATTTCTCTAATCAGTCTGGGTTTAAAATCCACTTTATCTAGCTGGGCGTGGTGGCACACGCCTGTAATCCCAGCACTCGGGAGGCTGAGGCAGGAGGATTGCTGTGAGTTCGAGACCAGCCTGGGCTACAGAGTGAGTTCCAGGTCAGTCTCAACTACATAGTGAGATCCTGTCTCAAAAAACCAAAATAAATAAATAAATAAATAAAAATAAAATCCACTTTATCCGAAAGTAGGATAGCAACTCCTGATTTTTTCTGAGTTCCTATTGCTTAGGATATTGTTTTCCATCCTTTGATTTTTTTTTTTAATCTGTGAGTTTCTCTTTGAGTTAAATGTGTTTCTCTATACTGTATATTGTTAGGTTTTCCTTCTGCTAATCTGTGTGTTTTAATTCGGAATTGAGATCATTCACACTGAGAGTTGTTACTGAGAGGAACTGACTTATTTTTGTCATTGCATTATTTTTCCATTGATGATTTCCTCCTTTCCCCCTTTTTCTTGCCTGCTCATTCTGCCAGGTATAGTCAATTCTTTTTGACTTGATCGTCTTTTTGGCATTGGTGGCTTCATTGTCTCTTTCTAGTACATTCTTGAGAAATTTTGTTTTGCAAGGCTGGGTTGTTGGTCATGAGAATTTCTTGACGTGCTCTGTTCATGGAAATACTTCATTCCTCTGGCAATTTTAAAGGAAGGTTTTACAAGATACATAAGTTAGCATTGGAAGCTCTTATCTTTTAGGGCTTGAAATACTTCACTTCAAACCCTCCTAGCATTTCAGTTTTGTGTTGAGAAGTCTCAAGAAGACAACATTTTTTAAATATATGGGAACTGGATGACTCAAGCTTGATCCATTAAAGGTGCAAGCAATTCTAGTGCAGTTCCTGAGAAGGCACATTCTTCCCAAGCATTCACAGGTGTTTGTGAAGTGTGTCTTACCTCTTAAGATATTTCAGCTCATTTTAAATAATAAGATACAATTAAGCCTATATTTGTTTTGACTGATACTGATCATTATATTTTAAGTAGACCATGGAGTCAATTAAAGCTCCGTGATTATTGATTTGGCTGGGTTATACTATCATATTACTGACTTTCCATTTGTCCTGCCCTTTTATTAGCTTCTTTTCTTGCTTTCTTTTGAATTGATCGTTTCTTATTCTATTTTTCTACCTTACTGGCATGACGTCTGTCATGGTTTGTTTCTAGATGTCCCCCTAAAGCCTCATGTGGATGAGGCGGGACTTTCTTTTTCAGAGGTAGTTGAGTCTGGAGTGTGTGATGCTGGGGCTAAGGGTGTGTGATCACTAAAGCACAAGGTGTGAGTGATTAGTTTGGCACTGCCCTAATTCCAGTAGTCTGAATGGGATAAAAGGGGTCGGAAGAGATGTTATACTCTCTTCTTACCTTTGCAGCCTTCTGTGCTCCATGTTGTTCCTCCCCTGCTATACTTGTTGGCCTAAAACAGAAACCCTAAGCCAGCTGGAAGAGTGGTTAGGTAGAACTCTTGAAGACACTGGCATAGGAAGAGATTTCATGAACAAAACCTCAGTTGTAGGTAAACTAGCAAAGAATTAACAGGTGGTGACAGTGGGATGGACCTCTTCTTGTTAAAAAGCTTCCACACAGCAAGAGAAATATCACCAACAGCGTGAAGAGACAACCCATGTGAAACCTACTGTGATAATTAAGAAAAATTGAGAAGATTGTGCAATGCACAGAATACAGGATATGAGGAATAAATACAGCTTATACAGTTACTTTGTTAGGTGAAATTATGCTGGCCATGGCCAGTGTTACACACTCATATTTATATTATTTATCATGTTACCTGTTTAACTCCTAAATATGTGCTATGTTTAATCTCTCATAAATTGAATTCTTGCAATTTGTTTTCCAGTAGCTTGTTGTTAGTATTTGGGGGCAAGTAAAAAATCTCTCTGCCCCCGAGCCTTTCCTCATGGTGTTGCACAACACACTGGGGACATAAAAGTCAGACAGGAGTAGATCTGATGTGTAAATTTAGGTTTCCTTCTAGTTAGATTTAAATCAAGTATTAGAGTTGCTTTTCTTCAAGGATATATTTTCCAATTCAGAAGTTGTGTTAAAGCTTTTGTTAATTATTTCATTTCATAGTTTTTCTTGTTCTTGTTCTCAAATACTGCAAAACAATCACTTCCAGATCCCTCTAAACTTGTGCTGTTTCCTGTGCATTTGTGCATGCTGTTCTTACACTTACCCTTCTGCTGATGACCACACATTTCACTCGCTGAGGGTCAGCAGTTCTCATACATGTCCACAAAGGCAATATCACTGCCTCAGTCTGTTTCCTGAGTTATACGTGAATATCACAGTGTATATTATTTATAAAGAGTAAAGGTTATTTAGCTCTGTTTCTGAAGGCTGGAAGGCCTGTGGTGGAGAGGCTGGTGAGGTCCTTCTAGGCAGTGGGGAGCCTCTGCAGAGTCTCCATTTCACACAGGACATCGCAAGGGTCTTGAGACTTCTTTGAGGCTCCTTGCCACCTTGAAATACCCTAATAGCGCTGGATGGAGTACAGTAGCTGCTCTCTTATTTTTACTCTCATACATATGCCGTTTGTAGGTCAACCTAAGCAACCGAAAGTTTCCATTTGCAATTTTTGTGATGGCCACAAGATGTCGATATGAACTCAATGCAACAGGTGATGCAATCAGGCGTCTCTGGGATGGACCTGATTTTAGAACTCTGCCACAGGGTGTCCCCGGGCATTTGCCCAGCCTACCTCATGCATTTGCATTTCTTTTTACAAATTTGGAACCAGAACCAGTATTTGAATTTAGTCCACAAATATTGCATTTATGGGGGGAGGGCAAGAGTGAAGAGAGGAAGAAAAGTCTCGGTCCAGTGTGATGCTTATAATCCCAGCACTCTGGTAGGCTGAAGCAGGATAATGCAAGTGAGAACCCAGCCAGGGTAGGTAACTTAGTGACTTAGCAAGACCTGAACTCAAAATAAGGTATGAGGATGTAGCTCAGTATGAAAGCCCTGGGCTCAAACTTTAATAGCTCCCCAAAATTCCTTGCAAATTGAGATTAGGTCATTCTATTTTTAATTTTTTTGAAAAGCCACCATATGGTGTCCACATTGGCTGCATGATTTTACATTTCCACCAACAATATAACTTGGTTCCTGTTTGCCAGCATCCTTTCAAGTTTGTTTTCTTTTATGTTTAAAAAAATAATAGCAACTAACTCATTGGGTGTGGAGTAGCATCTCACTGTGGTTTTGACTTTTATTTCCCTAGTTATTGGAGGCTATACAACCCCAATCACCTGACCAAGCAGACAGATTCAAAAAGACAAGACAAGATCCTAACGCATAAGTGGAGGGCCTAGGATGGTCAAAGCTCTTACCCGGCTTAGACACCGTCTCCTGGAGCTGGCCACTGTTTACTGATCACGCACCTTCCAGGAGAGGCAAGAGGTGATGCAGGAAACAGTAAGCTCAGGAGCACTGACAGCAGCACGGTCCTAGCAACACAAGGGAACAAGACATTCTAGTAGGAGCAGATCACTGATTAATGGGAAATTTGTTTCTCGACATGGATTAATTTCCGCCTCTCTAGGGATTTTCTGTATGAGTCACGCCACCCAAGACATCCAAGCATCACAGATCACTGAGACCTCTGCTGTAGCCAGTGGCGTGGGGAGCTGCCCCTGTTCCCGCATGCGCGAGCCATTGTGGGCTCATAGGCAGACTCAGACTTTAATGTGAGAGGCCATGTTACGGATTTGCAGCTCACTCAGGGCAATCTTCCTCACCTAGTGACTAGTGAGACCGAGAATCTTGTGTTTATGGCCACAAGGAACACGGAGCTGATGTTTAATGGGCAAGGAATTTCAGTTTTGCAAAAGGAAAAGCATTCAGGAAATGGGCAGCAATGGTTGCACACTATAAATAGGAGCTGTAACTTAGAAATATGTAAAATTATTTTAAAATAAATTATGAAAAATCAAAACTAGAATGTTACCAACCTGAATATTAATCATAAAATGAAATTTTCCTTGTTAAACCTATTATCTTTCCTCATTAAGGTAATTAAACTCCATACTGACAAGGAAATCTTATGACTAATCTTTCATTTAATCTCCCTACAGCATTTTTTTCTAAGTAACATGACTTCAAAATTGAATAAATAAATGTATTTTATTGTTATTTCATAGTTTTAATTTTTATCTGATATTTAAATTATAAATCAATAGTAATATAATAAAAACATACATTTTATATTTAGCTTTTTACTTAGACTCCTTGGACAGTTTTCTAAGAATAAAACCTAAGTATAATGACAGAATTGACTTTTGACTTTTAAATATTTGTTTTGATCTGAAGCTTAAAATATAACTCAGTAGAGCTGATTGAAAATAGGCAGCTGATCAAGAGAAATAGACTGGCAAAATGGATTAAGAAGCAAAATCCAACAATATGTTGTATACAAGAAACACACCTAGCGCAAAAAGAAAAGATGAAAAACAATTCTCCATACGACAGGAGCCCAGAAAAAAGCAGGGGTAGCTATCTAATTTGCAGACAAAGTAAATTTCAAACCAAAACTGACTAAGAGAGACAAAGAAGCTCACTATATTCTTGTAAAGGAAACAATTCAAGAGGAAGAGATGACAATCATAAACATATATGCAGCAAATATTAATGCACCCAACTACATAAAAAAAATTAAGTAAAAAGAAAAACCAAATAAGCACTAATGCAATTGTAGTGGGGGATATAAATACCCCACTATCACAAGTAGACAGATCATCTAGGCAGAAAATCAACAACGAAATACTAGAATTCAACCAATTTTTGAACATATGGTCTTAATAGATGTCTATAGAGTGTTCCACCCCACAAAATCAGAATATACATTCTTTTCAGCTACACATGGGTCATTCTCCAAGATAGACCACATACTAGCTCATACAACAGGTTTAAATGAATGCAAAGAAACCGAAGTTATCCCCTGTATATTATCAAATCATAGTGCAATCAGGCTGGAGATCAACAGCATAAGAAACCATAGGAACTTCACAAACACATAGAAATTGAACAACTCTCCTGAACAATCAATGAGTCACAGAGGAAATTAAAAAAGAAATTAGACAGTTTATATAAATAAAAGATAAAACCAATACAACATGCAGGAATCTATGGGACACAATGAAAGCAGTTCTATGTGGAAAATTCATAGCATTGAATACCCACACTAGGAAAACAGAGCGAGTTCAAATAAACAACCTAATGATGAATCTTAGACTCCTAGAAAAAGAAGAGCAAGAAAAATCCAAAGTTCATACAAGAGAGGAAATTGTAAAGATTGGAGCAAAAATCAATGCAGTGGAAACTAAGAAAACAATACAAAAAATAAATTAATCAAAGAGTTGGTTTTTTGAAAGAATAAATAAAATTGATAAACCCTTAGCTAACCTTATCAAAAAAGGAAAGAAAAGGCTCAGATCCATGCAATTAGAAATGAAAAGGTGAAGTTACAACAGATCCAATAGAAATCCAGAGGATCATCAAAGCCTACCTGGAGAACCTGTACTCTACTAACATGGAAAACACAGAAGAAATGGACAGATTTCTAGATACGTATGAATTACTTTCAAATTCATTCCTGGAAGCAAGTATCACTTTCATTCCCAAACCAGGGAAAGACCCAACTAAAAAGGAGAACTACAGGCCTATCTCCTTAATGAATATAGATGCAAAAATCCTTAATAAGATACTAGCAAACAGAATACAGAGGATCATCAAGAAGATCATACATCCTGACCAAGTACGATTTATTCCAGGGATGCAAGGATGTTTCAACATATGTAAATCAATAAATGTAATACAATGTATTAACAGAGTCAAGGACAAAAATCATATGATGCTCTTGATAGATGTAGAAAAAGCATTTGACACAACTCAACACCCATTCATGATAAAAACCCTGCAAAAAATTGAAATAGGTGGTCTATATCTCAATTTAATAAAGGCTATCTATGGAAAACCAACAGCCAACATCATATTAAATGGCCAAAAACTGAAAACCTTCATGTTAAAATCAGGAACAAGACAAGGATCAAACCCAGAGTCTTACACATGCTAGGCAAGCGTACTATCCCTGAGCTATATCCCATTTAAGCAAACTATTTAAAAATGTTAGCATTATAAGTAGTTAATTTACGTATATTAATTATACAGGAAGCATATTTGTGACTCCATAGTGACCATGTCCTTTTTATTTTTATTTTCTCCTTTTAGCCTGTACATGCAAACCGGTTTCCAGTACCAGTCTGTGCAGCCAAGCAGCCTCAGCACTTTCCATCAAGGTCTGAAATGAATTTGTTAGATTACTCGCCTAGAGTAAAATCCATGCTTAAGCCTTATAGTTTCTCTTATTTTTAATTTACCCTAGGGCAAAGTAGACGGTTTCATTTAGGACAAGTTTAGAACACAGTTTAAAGAAAGTTTTTAAATTTCTCTTATTTAATTTACCCTAGGGCAAAGTAGACGGTTTCATTTAGGACAAGTTTAGAACACAGTTTAAAGAAAGTTTTTAAAGAACTTTTGCGAGAATTTCATCATTTTAGTAAGACGATAAAAGGAAATGTTAAAAAGAAGCGTGAGCAACACTTAACAATGAACTGCAGAAGTCTTTGGTGTGTGTAAAATTCAGAAGCAAAGGCCTTTAGGGTAACTAGCAACAGGAAGCTAAACAGGGTGGACCAGTCCTCCTGTTCAGAAGAGCCAGAAGAACCTGGTGGGGGAGGAAAACATGTTTTTTTTGTTTTTTTGGGTACTGCGGATCGAACTCGGGTCCTTGCGCTTGCAAGGCAGGCCACCGAACCGCTGAGCTAGATCCCCAGCCCGGAAAACATGTTTCATGGCGTAGGAGGCCCAATAGATGAGGAGTTGTGGGGATGGGGCTCAGGAGGAAGTGGAGAGGTAATTCCAGATCTGAGTACCATGCTTTCCATTACAGGTGTATTCATCTCGTCTGAAGGTGACCAGTGGGGAGTTAGGAAGTAGAAAGCTTTCAATAAACTGACAGGGTCGAGGGTATAAAAACTGGAGGACCTACCTTGGCCAACATCCAAGGCTTTATGTTGGGACCCAGGATTAAAGGTGAACCATACCCTCAACTGAGTTCTTGGTTTTAATGTTCGGCCCCCAATCCAAAAAGCTAGGCATACGAGGAAAAAAATGTGATGAACACCAAGAATCAGTGGGCCCTAAAAACATGCTGAGAAATGTACCCAGTTAAGTCATCTGACAGAGACTTCGAATAATCACAGTGATTATGTCTTGGAATTAATAGTCAATTTTGAGAATTCCGTTACACAACTAGAGGCTTTAAAATAAGAATGCAAATTCTAGAACATAAAAACACAAGAATTGACATTAAAGACAGTAAAATTAAAATTAGCAGGAAAGGGATGAATGTATCACCGCTTTTTACATTGTGCAAAGTGCCTCTGATCCCTGTTCCCCCTAACAAATCCTCCAAATTCCAACTGCACTGCTGCCCTGAGGAGCGTCCCGGTATATGGTCTTTATTGTTCAGTGTGAGCAACTGAAACCCAACCGAAGATGACAGAAGAGTGCGTAAATCCCAAGACGTGTATTTACCCGGTGGTGCTCTTGTGCAGTGCTAGACCGAAGGGACACTCAGGTTGGATTTAGCAGCGGTTAAGGGAGGGTGTCGAAGAATGAGGGCGAAGACGGACAGGCGGAGTCGTCATAGCAGGGTTAACTCACGGGATTTCAGCTCTCTACACGTAAACGTATTGCTAGGTTTACCTTAGCAGTAATTTGTTGTCCATAAATTCTCACAGACAAGAAAAAGCCTTCATCCGTTAATGCTTCCCACCTGTCTTTCACAATTCGACTTGACAATTTCTTGCAGTTTTCTTTTTGAAAACGTATTAGCTGGGCTGGGGCTTTAGCTCAGTGGTTCCAGCACCTGCCTCACAAGCGCAAGGACCCGAGTCTGATCCCCGGTATTAAAAAAACAAAAAACAAAAAACACAAAAACTATAAGCTAGCAGGGTCATCTGTGATTGTGGAATAACAATATAAGGTAGGTAATGGCTCCATTTAAAGTTAAACTTGGAACCTTTTAACCGTTGGTTATCATATTAATGATAATCTCAGAATATAAATTACCTTCTGTAAGACCAAGAGCCTGACCAACCGCTCCGAGGAGCTCCACAGCCTTGAGTCTCACCCGGGAAGGAGCACACCGGACAAGTTGGAAATGAAACAGACCTTTATTAGTCCGGCCAGACGGCGCTCCGGAGCCGAGTAGCTCAGAGGCGCTAGCTCAGGGCCTGAGGTCCTCTTCCAAGGGGATACGGGGGAGTTAACATTCAGAGCTTGCAGTCAGGTGGCAGAGGTTCATGGTCTGCTGGTTCGCCCTGGGGTCCAGCTGTCCCTATTCGGCAGCCACACGTTGATGGTTAACAGATGCCTACAGGATGTTCTGAGATCTTAAAAGCATTTCGGTTTAAGCAGTTTTCCCTGTTGAAGATTAGGGGAGGGTGAAACATCAGTCTGGGCCGTTAGCGGGCCAACGTGCAGTCACTTCAGCTCACTCAGGTCTCACGCTTTCCTGTTTTCAGGAAGGCTGAGAATCGTGTTCTGCTGGGCTCGGCACGAATGCAGCTTTATTTCCTTCGGTCCGCACACACCGTTAACTACCTTTTCTCCCCACCACAGGCCACCTCCACCGCACCCGACAGCGTCATCTCAGGGAAATTTAGTTCCTGCCCGTCCTGCTCCTGCACCTCCTTTGTATAGTTCCCTCGCCTGATTTTATACTCTTCTTTTTGCACATATCTTCAGAGAACCGAGCAAATGTTTTTACTCCCTGGTGTTTCTCGGGAAGGCCTTTCTTCCTATTGCAACTATGAATGGAAACAAATTCCACAGAACAAACAAACTGGGGAGTTGAGAAGTACAAGGAAATGCAGTCAAATGAGGAATCCGTTTCCAGCATTGAAACGTCGTGTTCGGTCACCTATGAGGTCAATGTACTTAGCACCGATTGTTATTTTGAACATGTTATAGCCCTGATTCTCGAATTAACTGCACTGATGTCAGATTTGTCTTTATGCTTAAGTGCAGCCCTGGTTTCTTTTACCTCGGTTATCATTAATACAGTTTCTGACCAAACGTGATGATCTAATCCCTTTGAAAACTAATTACTTGTTGATAACATGTAGTATTTTTCGTCTTGCACAGATTGGTAGCCTTGGTACACTAGAATCTTGTTTCTCATTCGCGACATGAATAAACGGATATTTTGTCTTTGGAATAATGCAGAAGAGCCATGACTAAGATGCCCTAATATTGTTTTGAAAGTATAAAATAGGCTAAAGGACTGTGTGTTTATTCGCACACTTACTAGCTTCCATTTGTATGATCTTCCACTATAAGTGACTTAGAAAAATTAATTTTAGAATTTCCATTATGCATCATGTTAAAGCATGAGATCCTTTTACAGTAGCATTCTTTTTTAACAGTACAAGCTTTAAGGTACGAGGTATTTAATAGATCTAATCAGATACACTGTTGACTCACAGCTATAATAAAGGAGTAATTATAATCAATTATTTGAGCTGTTATAAAACCACTTTAAAATATACGAGCACTTTACATCTAAAATCTGAATTTTTGAAGCTTGATAGTAAATCATTTAGAATGTTTACATTTACGAAGGTGTGCTGGATCGTGTCTGTTTTTGACTCATATTTTCCTATCAATTAGGCTCGGTAAAAGAAGGAAGAAAAGGTTTTCTTGGATGAGTACAAAAGTTAATGTGGTGTCTGTGAATTATTATCTCAGCCACGTAAAAACTAAATTTTTACTGTGGAAGAAATGGTATGGTGAATAAAATTTTAAACACAAAATTTT